CTCAACGTATATGCTTTCTGCCTTAAAATAACACGGCAAAAATACCCGTTGTCACCTCCAATTTAGTCTGTACATATGGTCGGTGTGGGCACACACGTGTTGTACAACAAAGAACCTTAGTACTCTTAGATTTCTATTAATGGACAGCATATCATTATTCTGCTCCATGGAAGTGGTCGAACCTCTCAGGTTTTGTGTTAGAATTTGCATCCCCAGACTAAATATAGGAACAAAAAAAAAAAAAAAAAAAAAAAGAGCTAATAGTGCAGATGCCTTAACGTAGCCTCATAACAAGCGTGGAGAGTTGAACACTGTGCTTGTAGATAAAGATACGTGCACAGTTCAAGACCATGAACCGTCTTGAACTGTGCATACGTGTTTTTATCTACATACTGTCGGTATCACCATGCCTCTCTAGTCATTGCCTGTGCTTGCCCAGACAAAAGAGAGGTATCGCAATCGTTACATTTTGCTTACTTGTGGCTACATGTACATTTTTATTGATTTTTGTTACCTACCCTAACATCACCTATTATAAAGAGCAAAGTAACATTTTACTTGCATTGAACTTTAATAGACGCTGACAATTATATAAAAATCTAACGATATAGGATAAGGATTGGTTGAATGCTGAATGAATATTCGTCCTTGAGGACCCATGATCAGGAGGCTATAAGCCAGTGGCGGCCTCGTAAATCAACAACAAAAACAAGAACAATATTAAATAATGTCGAGAAAAAGTTGCAGACCAAGAAGAAGACTGTTACAGGTAAACATCAACTGTTTCTATTGCAAGCAACGATGATGAGAACTGTCTAAGGGCTATCAGATGACAAGCGGGTAGCAGGGGATATATGGCAATTATACGACACACAGGTAGCAGACACGGGTAGCAGGGGGTACACGACTAGCAGACGGCACGCGGGTAACAGGGGGGGATACGCGGGTAACAGGGGGATACACGAGGGAAACAGGGGATACACGAGTAACAGGGGGATACACGAGTAACAGGGGGATACACGAGTAACAGGGGGATACACGAGTAACAGGGGGATACACGAGTAACAGGGGGATACACGAGTAACAGGGGGATACACGAGTAACAGGGGGATACACGAGTAACAGGGGGATACACGAGTAACAGGGGGATACACGAGTAACAGGGGGATACACGAGTAACAGGGGGATACACGAGTAATAGTGGGATACGCGGGCAGCGGGGGATGCATGGCTAACAAATGAAAGACATACTGTTCATAACTTAAATCATTCAAGAATCTCTTCACCATAAGCGTCAGTATTATTACGCTCATGGTAGGCAATCAGGTTCGATTAAAGGGAAAAATAAAAAAAACTTTCCGTGAGGGAAAAAGCGTTAGTACAATCCTCGAGTTCATAGCACCAGCGTAGAGTTCACCAATCACTGCTATTAAATATTATTCACTTATTATTGTTATTCATGCGTGCGCCACTATACTGAGAGAATGGAAGCTAAGGGACATGAGTAGGCAAGACAGGAAATATTAATGGTTAACGAAGACCAAGTGTTAGAAAAATAATGTACAGTACAAGAATGAGGTAGTAAGTACTACACCTAACGCGACGGTCTGGAGTTTTGGGACTCTGATCGCGGGTTCTACCCCCGCCCGTGGTATGGATTGTTTGCAATCGTGTCATTACGATTTCGCGAGTCATGTAAACTACAAAAAACAACTGCTGACGCCAGGTCACTAGGAACCTAGTTTTGCTCCGGTACATATAAAACGATAATCACTCGCAAAAGTGCTTAAGGCAGATAAGTTTGTTATACTCTCAATAGCTAATATGATTATCCAATTTATTGGTGCAGGTCAGAAATATGTAACTGATGTCTCATTGCTCTAATAACGAAAGAAATCACAATGCTATCGTCAAAACAAATCATAATAATAATATAATAAAGTTAGGCCCACAATAATAATATGATCAAAAGAAGAAATAAATCTGTGTAGGTCATTCGGCTCTTGTGTTAGTGAGCGTAAGTGCAATGAAAAATATGTTGAAAGTTAAGCTGTTTACTCTGATAGCACAGTCGATTAAAAGATGACGTACTGGCATAAACTACCTGACAGTCCTCAGAGGCGCTGCGAGGGAATTCTCCATAATTTGGACGCGTGTACGATGAAAGTAAGATGGCAATTAAGGCCAAAGTCTTGGAGGCATCAAGACGGTACTGAGATTATTATTATTATAATCATGGGGAACGCTAAACCCGTAGGATTATAGAGCGCATGTGGGGGGGATGGAAGGTATTCAGGCTCAATTCAGGGAACCGGAGCACAGATCCAATTCCCTAGATCAAGAGCCCCTCACCAAAGTCAAGGAACCTCCCTTGAGGGGCGGTACCGAGAAGAAAAAAGTAGCAAAATAGGACCATGCTGCGTGAGACGGAGGTGATCAAGACCCTATGGCAGAATGGAACTTTTATTGAGACACTTCAATTGAAGATTTTTTTTTTAAATTATTATTATAATAAAAAAGAAGCGCTAAGCCACAAGGGCTATACAGCTTTTTTTTTTTTTTAAGTCTATAGAATGCAAGGTGGCCATAGATATATACACACAGTTGGGAGAGCAGATGAGGAATCGTGAGGAGCGAACCTGACTTGTTAGTCAGGAGGGTAGTGTGTGCTGAGGAGCATGCGAGCCAGGGTCCAGCCAGCTGGAATCTTCCCTGATTCTAGGTAATGGAAGTTGCGTTTGTCGGGATCCTGATCTGCAGGTTTGCACCTCACGCCTCTTCCCCTGCTCTCTCGACTGTGTATACCCAACTTACCATGTACTTTCCATATACCTGAAAAGCTTAGTCTCCAAGTGAAACGCTGTAAATAAAGCTTCCAGTCAGACAGTGTATCAGCAAGTCGGTTTTACCTCTGTCCCAGAATCAGTGGTTTTTAGCTGCAGAATGAGAGGAAGCGTTTGCTTGTTTATGGCCCAAACCATCTGATTATTTTTTCATTCGTGATTAGGGCTAAATCAGGTTTGATTTAAGAAAGGGAAAGACAGCGGACAGCTTTGAAACAACAGTACACTAGGAGGACGTAATTGTAACTCTACATATCAGTATTGTATACCATCCATTATATAAAACTCATCTGCAAGTTAACTCTTAAACTGTCCGGAAAGATGCTCTCCTGAGCCTGACTTCCTTGCCAAAGATATAATGAAACTTCCCCCCCCCCCACCACAACATATTTTGGGTGCGGTATTGTGTCTTGAGTTGGGCTTTAAAATGGGCTGATAACAGCTCTTAAACTGCAAATTTTTACCTGTTTAAAAAGAACTTACAAAGCATCATGACGCATCCATAGTGACTCACTCTCGATAGGAACTCTTGAGGAAATTTGAATAAGGTGGGTATTCCCCCCCCCCCCATCCCTAACGCTTACTCTAGATTCAGTCTAGGAGCTAAATAGCCATTAATGTAAACTACATATATAAGAAGATACGAGAATTTTATGGGACTTTTTATAAACTAAAAAAAAAAAAACATTAAAGATAGCCGTCATACTTAAGGTCCATTTCATAAAACATGTGCAGTTACCACAGCAACTTAGTATATTGTGTAATCAATACGTTGTGTACTTACCAGTGCACTATTACTTCTGATGGAGAGGTATGGTTGGTTACGCCTTGGTTGCAGGCTTAGTTGGTATGTTTCAACCTTTTAATTGGTCGTTCTCGCAAGGCGGATATCAGGTTAACTTTTATGTAGTACGTTTTTCTCGGCCGTGGTCTTGCAATCATCGTCTTGTGATGATGGTTACTGTCACTCACTTAACTGATTCCTGTCATTGTTTAACGCAAAAAGATTCTTTAACAGAAAGATGGGCGCAATAATATTTCTCGGCTCGTTATAGCAATTTGCCTTTCGCTCTATCAACACTACATCGTAACGCTGCTCGATGGATATATTGTTTTGCCACTCTAACATCTCTCTAAGCATCTCTATAATGGATTAAAACGTCAATTTACGTTTAAAAAAAACTCGTTTTCTCGTTACATTTGACCGTGGCTCGTCGTGTCTAACCACTCTGAAATACTAAGAACAACTGCCCCTTTCCCCTTACCCACCTGACGTGGAAAATAGAGGTATTATATGCGCACAACATAATATACAATCGAACAGATTTATGGTTGATTAAGTTTTAACAGCTAACTCTCCGTTGGTACAGGAAACCTAAGACTATGCTTTAGTTCGTCCTGAATCACTGACGTAGCCGTACATACCTAAGGGTATTAATGGGTTGTTGTAGGTCGCATCAGCGTCTGGGGAATGGAAACCTAAAAATTTACCCAATCAAAATAAGCCACACTGCTCAATGTTCTTGTGGTGTTATCCTGAGTTATTAATCCTCTAGTTATTAATCATAATAAAGTGCTCTTCTTCTTCAATTATAATTACTGCTAAATAATGCATATAATTATTTTTGTCTGTCATTTTAGTTTTTTGTCAAATCAGTGTTGCTACCCTCCTCGACATGACAGTTATATATTGGGAGCAAAACCTAGCTCTGTTTGCCTGTCATATCAGTTTCTGTTGTATCAGCGTGCTGCTACCCTATTCAGTATAATAGTTGCATATTTTGAGCAAAACCTGGCTATACTTCCCTGTCATATCAGTGTTGCTATTCCTATATTATAGTTACATATGCGAACAAAAGCTGTTTCCCTGTAATATTCCATCACGCGGAATGGGTTTCTTGCATCAGGTACTGTGTGCCAAAGTTGCATGCCCCCTGTCAATGATACGATAATACTGTACCTAAAATAGGGAGAGAAGGGGGAAAGGGATAATCTTTTACGTGACCTCTTTGAGATAGTAGAAAATAAAATAAAAAATAAAAGATCAGAGGCATTATTATTATTGGGAAGCACTAAAACTGAAAGCGTCATAAAACACGTGAGGGATGGAAAGTAATAAGGCTTCAGTAACGCTGTCTTATATAAGGCTCCTTGCAGATGCGTTGGTGGGGACAGCGGAGAGTGGCTACAACGGTGTTGGTGATGGTGGTGGTGATGATGATGGTGGAGGCGGGCACCAGGAGCTATGCCTCTACCAGGGTGGTGGTGCCAAAGAAAGCCTGGGCACATAGGAGCCTCCGTCAGGTAGCAGCAGATTGTAACTGTACGTATAGAGTACTGCATATTTTGTTTCATTTTTTTTTTTTTTGTAGTCTGACCAAATTTTGCCTCTCCAGAGAATGTGCTCAGAGGTATTTGAAGTTCTCTTGATACGGGGCTCTGTGGTAATATGGTTACTCGAAGAATTTTTTTTTTTAACATTCCGGCCGTCTTCCATCGAGACAGGGTGATCCGAAAAAGAAGACACTGTCACTCAATCACTGTCTTGCCAGACGGGAGACACAACAGTTCAGATGACCCTCCAAACTGCAACATTCCCACCCCTCCTTCAGAGTGCAGGCACTGTACTTTCCATCTGAAAGACTCAAGTCCGGCTAACCGGTCTCCCTGAATCCCTTCATATATATTACCTTGCTCACATTCCAACAGCACGTCAACTCATAAAAATCTCTAGCCTCCACTCACTAACACGCTCACACAACCTGTTGGATGTCCAAGCCTCTAGCACTGAAAACCTCCTTTACTCTCTCCCTCCACTCTTTTCTAGGAGCATCCTTACTCCCCTTCACTCAAAATTTATACCCTCCTAGTCATCCTAATGTTCTCCATTTTCTCTAAATGTTAAAACTACCGCAACAACCCCTCTTCAGTCCTCTGAATAATAATTTTGTAACTCCACACCTACTCTTCTCTCCAAACTCCGAATTCTCTCCATGCATTGCTCTTAAATACTGTCTCAGCCTCCTCGCTGCAACATTCAAAACCCATGCTTCATACCCATACACGAATGCTGGCACCACTATTATTATTAAGTACATAAAATACAATATACTGTAGATAGACCGGTTATCATAGTTATTTACAAAATATTGATTTCTGAAGCTGAACTCCACGAACTTTACTATTATTCAATCCACAATTACCACCACCACAACACTCTTACCACCAACTATTACTATAACTAGCATAACTATCACCGCGTTTGGTAATATTTAGCGACAACTACTCAATGGAAACCGACCATTATTTTTCACTTTTCCAAATATACAACCTATATACAGCAGGGAATAAGTAATTATGTTTTTGGGGGTACAATCGGTTTTGGTAGATGAATGGTTCAGAGAACCGACATGTTGATAAATTAGACACATGTGCAACTCTTGGGTATCTTTATTGAGGAAACGTTTCGCCACACAGTGGCTTCATCAGTCCATACATAGGAGAAACTTGAAGAACAGGAGGAGAATGAGGTAATCAGTCCCTCAGCCTTGAGTCGATGTGATCAGTCCATCAATCTTGAATAGAATACGGCATACGTGATCACACAGTTGCTCTACACTCAAGAAGCCTCTCTTCGACCCCGCCGGGTTTAGAATTTATATTCTACAAACGTCACATCCTTTTCACAATGCTGTCGAATCGTGTGAAAATCAAGCCTGTGAATGGTGCAACAAATGACTCCTCGAAGTTAGCTTTAGCTACCGTCGTTAAGACCCGCCTGCAGGTCAAATTTACGGCAATCCACTCTCTGAAAGACTCCTTCATTGTTGTCTGCACAGACGACACGGAAGCATCAAACCTAATGGACGACTCTTCAGTCAGGACCCTACAAACATAACAATTCACTCTATCCCCGTCTCCATTCGTGAAGTCGAAACGTTCGGTCTTTGTGAAAAGACTGGACAATATGGTCACCTCTCTCTCTACTGAAGCACTGAAGACATCTATTGAGGAACAAAACACCTGGGCCTCGGTAGACAGCATCTACAAGATCCCTAACGCCTCATCTATGCTGAAGATTACATTCTCAGACGTCTCCATGGCTGCCCAAGCTCTCTCTGACGGTGTGGCCATCTCATATTACCACATTCACCCTAGTCATATAGAACAAGAACGTTTCACATACATCTCCTACTGCTGGACCTGCTACTCCTATAAACACACCACCAAGGACTGCCCCATCAAGGATAAGAAGTTTTGTTCAAAATGTGGGAATGATGTACACGATTTCAGATCCTGCACCATTACTACAGCACCAACATGTCTTAACTGAAAGGGTAATCATCATACCCTTGCAGCCGAGTGCCCACTCAGGAAAGAAATCATATTAAAGAAAACTAAAGTTCTGAAGAACACCTCCAATTCACCGACATACGCTGCAGTAACCAAACCACAAACCGACACCACCAAGACTCTACACGCTAATCTACAGGCACCATCGCCCAACAACTCCCTCTCTCCACTCCCCGACGGAGATTCCTCCAAGGTGCTGTACTGCATGGTGTATGCACACCTTGCAAACGCAGCAAACCCCGGCACTTTCAACACCAGTATTAACGAACTATTCCGTCTGAACAACATGCCTGCCTTCAATTTTCCGGACTCCATACCTTCAGCAGACATCCTCAAGATCCTTCCCAACGCCCTGAACTTTACTGCACCTGCAGACCTGTCTCCTGCCCAAGCAACTGCTCCTGTAACTTCTATAACCACTTCCACCGCTGACAACGTTGATAATGCTGCCTCAACCACCGTCTCGCACCTCTCCCAACCTGCTGTTACACAACCGTTCCACCTCTCCACTGCTTCTGTCGACCCTCAGTCACCTGTTGCCACAATTGTGGATTCGCCCAATGAGTCCACTCCAGAAGAGGAAGATAGCGACGACTCCAGTAAACCCTCATGGGAAAACCTTACCTTCTACACTTCTCCTTCAAATACTGACACCACGACCTGTACTGAACTCTACAAAAGCCTCGGTGCTGGAACAGTCAAGTATGCCTGTGAATCACCGCTTCACTTCACACTCACCCAAGTTCTTGAGTTCATCAAGCCTCTACGTTTCACCTTCAGTAACAAGGCCAAATTATACCACCTATCTAGGAGCATCTTTATTGTAGACGTTTCGCCATCCAGTGGCTTTATCAATACAAATTCTAGGACATAACTTGAAGAAAGTAGAACTATGTACAGAAGATGAGGTAATCAGTCCCTCAACCTTGGAGTAGGTGCGAAGAGCACCATCGTCTTGGAGATATTGAAACAGAAGCAAGGAACCTGGCGCTTATATAGTAACGTCAGGTGTAGCAGACGAGGGCATAGTCACTGGTAGGCGGGATTCCTCAGTGGAAGTAGGTCCTTCCAAAGAGATGGGTATTTGTAGTAGTTGTCGTAGTCGTGAGTTTATGTACATGTCCAGAATCAAGATTCCATGATGTTGCAGTGTCTGACAAGTTGGCAAGAATGGTAATAATACGACAAGATGAAATTAAACATGTGCAACATTCTGTTATGTCCTCTGTCTTCAAGCTATGTCTAGAATTTGTATTGATAAAGCCACTGGATGGCGAAACGTTCTACAATAAGATACCCAATGTTTGTAGATGAATGGTTCAGAGAACGACATGTGATAATAGACACATGTGAACTCTTGGGTTTTTTTGAGGAAACTTCGCCACCAGTGGCTTCATCAGTCCAACGTAGGAAAAGTTGAAGAAAGGAGGAGAATGAGGTAATCAGTCCTCAACCTTGAGTCGATGTGTTCAGTCCATCAATCTTGAAGAATACTTTCTGCCAACTTGTCGCACTGCAACATCATGGAATCTTGGTTCGGGACATCTACAAGACTTCTTACGGCTGCTGCAACAAACCCATCTTTTGGAAGACTACTTCCACGGGGAATCCCGCTACCAGTGACTGCCTCGTTCTCCTGTCCCTTCCACAGCCATAAAACGATCTTCTTGCCTTGCCCAGATTTCCTCCACCACGATGCTGTGAACACTAACTCCAAGGCCGAGGGACTGATTACCTCATCTTTTGTATATAGTTCTACTGTCTTCCTATTATGTCCTAGAATCTGTATTGATAAAGCCACTGGATGGCGAAACGTCTACAATAAAGATATCCAGATGTTGCACATGTGTCTTAACTTTCAGAATACGGCATATGAGCGGAGAAGCAGCTTATAAACCGTGTCTTAATTTCATCTTGTCGGTATTATATACCATTCTTGCACATACCCAGATGTTGCACCTGTGTCTTAATTTCATCTTGCCGGTATTATATACCATTCTTGCACATACCCAGATGTTGCACATGTCTTAATTTCATCTTGTCGGTATTATATACCATTCTTGCACAACTTGTCAGACACTGCAACATCATGGAATCTTGATTCTGAGGACATGTACATAACCTTCACGACTACGACAACTACTACTACAACTAACCCATCTCTTTGGGAAGGACCTACTTCCACTGGGGAATCCCGCCTACCAGTGACTATGCCCTCGTCTGCTACACCTGACGTTACTATATAAGCGCCAGGCTCCTTGCTTCTGCTTCAATATCTCCAAGACGATGGTGTTCTTCGCACCTACTCCAAGGTTGAGGGACTGATTACCTCATCTTCTGTACATAGTTCTACTTTCTTCAAGTTATGTCCTAGAATTTGTATTGATAAAGCCACTGAATGGCGAAACGTCTACAATAAAGATACCCAGATGTTGCACCTGTGTCTTAATTTTATCTAGGAGCAGCTTCAAAAAGTTCGAAAATGGCTCCATTGCTAACTTGCCTCCTCAGTTACTCCTATAACTTCTACATGTGTTCTACCCTCTGATGTGACCTAGCCTGCTGCCAGCTACTCAAGATTCAAGACTTCAACTACCACAAGTTCGATGCAACAGTCTCTGCTATTCCTGTTCTCAAGTCTGCCCCACGATCGCCTTAGCTGCTGGGTTAAGCCCTGGCTCTATTTCTCTGACTAAGAACACTCCTCTCCAGAGCTATTCTTCATCTGTCCCGTCTTCCCCGCTCATCCCATTGGGATCTTACCTGAACTTGTTTACCTTGCTTTTTTGCTTTGCACGTATGCCGTATTCTATTCAAGATTGATGGACTGATCACATCGACTCAAGGCTGAGGGACTGATTACCTCATTCTCCTCCTGTTCTTCAAGTTTCTCCTTTGTATGGACTGATGAAGCCACTGTGTGGCGAAACGTTTCCTCAATAAAGATACCCAAGAGTTGCACATGTGTCT